CATAAATACTTTTGTACTATCTGTATCTATTTTTTTAAGCTGCAGCATTGAATGTCTCTTTCTTCACATCTTTCAATCACAGAATTGAATGTCTTACCTTTACATCATTTTTTCAATATAGGCCCTTCACACAGGCCATGCCAAAGCCAGGCTTTGAACAAATAATCTTGCCAATCCAGGACAAGTAGACACAGCATGGTAAAGTGAAAAAAGCAGAGGGTCCAGAGTGAGAGAAACAGAGTTTGAGTCCAAGCTCCACTACTAAGCAGCTGTGCCACTGTAGGCAGGTTACTTAACTGATTTACAGTATCTTCATCTGTAAAATTGGGACCATAGCAATATCTACCTTACAGGATAGCTATGAGATTATACATGTTTATATGAAAGCATTTTATAAACTATAAAGAATCATACATTCTTATTATTTACCTTAATTTTTCTTTAATATAGGAATGAATATTTTCATTTTAAAAATTAGAAAAAAAAATAGAAAATACAGAATATTAAGAAAAGAAAAAAAATCACCCATAGGCCTGTCACCCAAACATTGCTATTTATTTTAAATGAAGTAAGTACAACATCAACCAAAAGAAATTAAAGTAGGAATAATTTCAGATGTTAATACAAATAACGTATTAACAACAAAATAAACTGCTGATTTCTTTTTAAGAAAAGAACAGTCTTTCCCATCTATCAGTTTAAAGACAATGCTGCTATTTGTCCCAGAGCTGGTCCCAACAGGGTATGATATATGGGTGAGGCTCATAAAAGTCAAAGCCACAAAACTCCCAAAATAAATATTTCATGAGCCCCAGGAGTAATTACAACACATGCCCTCAGATGCAATGGAGAAGGCAAAGTGTATGAACCTCCATTAACAAAACTGGCATGACTTTTCGGTCACAAAGACTCAGATTTCTATGGGCCACTTCAATGGAAAAAAGAAAAATTTATATACAGACAGCCTAAGGCTTCTGAATTTTTCACACTGCTTTTAGAACTTGTACCCCTCCTCTATTTTTCCTTTCCCACCCTTCTTTCTCCTATGTCCCCTCCTAGGTTACTGCATTAGAATCACTTTCTGTGTTTAAAATGGCCTTATTTTACACAATAGAATATTATTCAGCAACAAAAAGGAATGAATTTCTGACACATACTACACCATAGATGAAAACATTATGCTAAGTGAAAAGTCAGACACAAGAGGCCACATATTTTGACTCCATTTACATGAAATGTCCAAAATGCACAAATCCACAAAGACGGAAAGCAAATTGATGGTCGCCTAAGGCTGAGATATTAGGGGATGGAAGAGAATCAGTGTGTGTAATGGGTATAAAGTTTCTTTCTGAGGGAACAAAAATGTCCTAAAATTAGACTCTGGAGATGTTGTACAATTCTATAAATACACTGAGGAACACCTAATTGTACACTTTAAATGAGTGAATTGTATGGTATGTAAATTATATATCAACAAAGCTGTTTTTTAAAAAATGATCTTATTCACTAGAAAAAAGGACATGTAAATAATCTCATCCTACCTTCTAAGGGTGGAGTAAAAGTGATGACTCAATTGTGATGATACATATATAAAGTGACCAGACTACTTTTATTTAACAAATACACATGAAAAATTGCAAATCCAAATGAGTTTTGCTTAATGATTCCCTAAGTCCAAACTTGGTCCTCAGAGTCTCAGTAATTCTATGCCTCTGTTTAGGTAGTTCTTTCTACCTGTAATGCCTTTCTTACCACATCTTTAAATGTTCAAATACCACCTTCTTTGAGGCCAGTTCAGAGGTTACCTTCTCCATGAAGTCTTCCCCATGCTCTCAAGAAAAGTGACTTCATCTTCCTCTGAACTTCCATAGTTCACTTTCTCTGAGCCACTTAGGACTTTCAATCCAATATTATACTTACTCTGGCCAACATAATACTTACTGCTTTGATGTTAAAAGGGGGTTCTCAATAAACACCAATCTGATAAGTGGATGACTACTGCTTAACAATGCAGATTTCATCATCACTGGGTATATTTTCATTTTGGAAATATTCAAAAGTCACTTTAGACTCAAAAATGGTAGTAAGGTTAAGGAATACCCATTTCAGACAAAATTTTCTTGACCAAAATAAAACAAATTCATTTGTATGTATATAATATGTAAAAAAAAAAAAAAAAATCCCAAAGAGAAACATTGGAATGGGGATATAGCCTCCCAAGGTAACTAAAAGAAATGTGAATTGCATGCATTTTGGAATACTTGTTCAAAAATCAGATTTATTAGAGGAACATCACATTTCTTCCCTGAGAGTTCTATTATCAGGCTCTACTAATTCTTTTTCTTCTGTATTTCTAATATAGTCCTAATTCCTGCTCCATTTTGCCTGCCAAACCCAAAGTTCTCTCATTTTCTTCAAAACCAACAAATTTTCAGTCTCCTAATTTATCTGCCTTCCCATAGTTCCTTCTTTCCTTCAACAATATCAAGCCATCCCATGTGTCAATGTTAAGGGTAGGAACTGGGGAGCACATACATATCATATGAGACACAATCTAGTTAGGAACTTGACACATGTACACAATTCATCACAATATTAAGTAGCATATATACAAGGGCTACAACAGACACACCGAATTCCAAGCAATGGGTAAGTCCTCTGGGCTCCCCAGAACACAATCTATACAGTTTCCCTCACACACTCTTATCCTCTCCCTTCCATTCTTTTTCATTTTACTGGACTTCTGTTAAACTGCCCATATAGCATGCACTAACTTCAGCTCCAGTTTCTCTCCAGCTTGCCTCCCTGAGCGAGTCAAGACAATCTACTTGCTGTAACCTGGAAGTGACTTAATCACAAGTACTTTTTGTTCACCACTGACTATTTATCAACACAATCCTCCTCACTTTCTCTCTGCTAACTCCTATCAAATTTCTTCTTTTTTTTTAAATTTCTTCTTTTGTAATGTATTGGAAAGTATGTAATAATAAGTAATTTTGTTTTTAGCTTACCAATGCCCTTGTTTCTTCTGTGTTAGTCTCACAGAATCTATTACAATGTTTACTAAGGGACTGTATCACACCACCTTGGAGCTTCTTAAAAACACAAAGACCTTGACCCAACCTCCTCAGTAAGTCTGGGATGGTAGCTGGACATCTTTATTTCTAAAAAGCCCCAGTGGTGATTCTAACGCACATTTCAACCTGAGAATCTGATTTATTAAAATGTTCCCTATACAACAGACATTCAATTCTTATTAATTCATGCACTGAAGCTCATAAATAACTTTTCTCTAAATAGCCTAGCCAGGTATCAGCCCCTTGACTACACCAGTTCTGTTCCAAGTGCAACATGTGGTTTTAAGATTTCATTTCCTGAAGTACTCCTTGGAGGGACACTATTACCCTGTCTCTTTACATTGTTTCCTATTTGTTGAAAAATGGAGGCCTGGAATGCAGCCATGTTAGACAACACTACATAAGAATGCACTCTGGAGCCTTAGATTAAAATTAGTTATAAAAAGAACAAGAACAATGTAGAACTAGACATTTTGAATGAACACAGTATTCTTCCTGAATACAGTCTTAACTAAAACAGATGGGGAATTTGGTCAGTAGTGTCTTCCTAATTAGCAGTCTCCTGAACTGTCTCCTGAACTGGGCCCCTGAAGACTAAGGAAGACTTTCAGCAGCTGAAGTGCATTAAAGCGCTCTACTCAGATAAGAAGCCCAAGCCGCACCCAGACCCACAGTGGCCTCCCAGCCTCCTAACTACCCTGACACACTCTATTTACACAGCTCGGTGGGGAAGCCTTATGAACTTTTTCCAAAGTTGCTTCTCACAGGCAGCAGCCTTCTGAGTCACCCACCCAGGGTGGGAAAGAAAAGTGTGATATTAGCCAGCAGGGTGTTAGGAGACTGAGCACAGCACCTCTTTTCCCATTTCAGAAGCGGGCTGCGCCTCCTCCAAGAATCACCTCAGTTACGAGTCACCGCTGTGGGCGACAGGGGTCTGCGGAGCCACTTAGCCACCTGGGAAAGTTGTGGCTTGGGGAGGAGACGCCCCGTCCTTTTCTCCGGCAGGGGCCGCAGATCCCAGATTCCACAGGCCTCTCCCGGCAGCTCCATCTTGCTTCCTGTCAGGAGGAGGGGCCGAGGAGGAGGGCCCCCGAGTCTGGAAAGGCCCCAGGGGGAGGAAGCTGTGTGACAGCAGGTAAAGCCAGGTGGAAATCTCCACAGGAGGTGGGGTGGGTGGGGGGGGCGGGAATGAAGAGCAACAGGGTTACGCGAAAGGGGGAAAGGGATTCGTGGTCAGGAATTACTGCATAAAGAAGTCACCCGGCGTTTCTGAGCGCCAGAGGTGTGAGCAGAAGTACTCCTCAGGAAGGGAGGAAAAAGACATGAGGGGTCAGTAAGACAAGTGGACGAAAGGGCCGGACCCGCGGAGCTCTGAGGAGGGGTGGTGGGTGAGGCAGGTTTCAAGGTGAGGGGCAGAAGTATCAGAAGAGAGAACAACGTGGCTCCTATTTAAGAATCCCTGGAAGGAGAGGCAGGGAGTCAGTAGAGGAGCCCGCCAGCCCAGAGGCCAGGCCGGGGAGGCCTAAAAAGGAGCTGAGAGCAAGGCTGTCAACGGGAAGGGCGAAAGCCAGCTGAAGGAAAGGGGCTATCAGACATCCTAACACCTACCATTTACTGAGCGCTTACTACAGATCATAAGCTGCGCTAGGCACTTTATAAATACCACCTCACTGAATGTTCACAAGAAACCCGCGAGGCAGGCATTATTAGGATTGTCCCCATTTTATAGATGAGGAGACTGAAGCTCAGAGAGGCCTGAGGGCTCGCTCAAGGTCAGAAAGCGGGGGAGTCAATATTCAAACCTAAGGCGATCTGGCTCCCGAGTCCACGCGCAAACTCACAGGCAGTGACCGGGAACCGTGAGGCGAGCCAGGACCCCAGGAACGTCTCCCGCGCCCGTTCCCCCAGGCCCAGCGCGCTCACCCGAACGAGGTTGCTGACCGCCGCCTGCACGGCGGCCACAGGCGCGGTGAGGTCAGGGATGGCTTTGCCGTCCACCTCGCCTTCCTCGTGCATAATCACCAGGTGCGAGATCTGCTGCGCCACCGGCTCCAGAATGCTCTCAATCGTGCGCGTATGAAACACCGGCATCGCGGCGGCGAGCGGGGCGGCGAACCGCGGGCTACAGAGAACTGAGAAGCAGGGGCCGGGAACCCGCACAGAGACGGACTCGGAGCAGCGACTACGAGTCGGGGCTTCCCTCAGCGTAACCAGCCTCACCGGCGCCCCGCCCACTCGCGTCGCCGCGCCCAATGAAAGCGCCGCTCAGACCCAGGCCTCCACTCCTATTGGTCCCTCTTTTATATGCTCCGCCCTCGCAACCGCGCCGCCAAGATCCCGCCCCGCCCCCATTCCCAAGGGAGGGGCCTGGGATTGGGGCTGCGTCGCAGGGATTGCGACCGGATTCCCGAGCCCTAACGCCGGGCGCTCCTTATAAGGGCATGGTGGGAGCGGAGCGTGCGGCTGGAGCCGGGGGCCCCGCCCCCGAGGCCGCCTCCCGCGTCGGCTCTGCAGAGCTCCGCCCCTCTGCAGAATCACCTCAGTGGGGCGGGGTCTCCTCACCTCTGTCGGCGCTGGAGTCTGAGGAGACCCGAGAGCCATAAGTCTGTTCCCTGCTCCCCAAGTTTTCCCTTCACACAACGCCCTAAAAATACACTTTCCACTTCCTCTCAGTAATGCTTTCAAACAGCAGAGGTGCCCAGAGGAACATGTGTCCCATTCGAATGAATGGGACACACACAGCGCAGGCACACAGACACGCACTTCACCCACTCCCATCCTCAGAGATAGTCACTGTTAACAGTTTGGTGTACAGGACTTAGACCTTTGCTTTAGACCTGTCTACTCACTATCTTGTCCATATATATTTTCTGAGTAAGTGGGATTAAACATTTTCCAGGAACTTGATATTTTTCCCCTTAAATAAAATCCCCTTGGTTATCTCTTTCTTGGTAAATATAAGTCTAGGTGGACCTCATTCTTTTGATGGCTGCATGATATTCCATTGCATGAAATCAGTTTCCCTAGTAATGGACATTTTGATTTTTCCCTCTTCAACAGTTCTGCATGAACATAATGGTACTTGCTTCTGTATTGTTATTTTTTAGTCACTAAATCGTGTTTGACTCTTTTGCCACCCCATGGACTTCCAGGCTCCTCTGTCCATGGGATTTCCCAGGCAGTAATACTAGAGTGAGTTGCCATTTCCTTCTCCAGGGCATTTTCCCGACCCAGGGATCAAACCCATGTCTCCTGCATTGGCAGGCAGATTCTTCACCACTGAGCCAGCAGGGAAGCCCAGAGGTGTATTTAAGGAGAACCTAGAAATGAAGTGAAAAATGCAAAAATCCATACATTTTGATAGGTAAGACCAAATTGCCTAATCTTCTCACAGCATGTGGTGTAGAAGACATCTTCTAAATGTCTTCCTCACCTCAAAATCTCTTGCCTAAGCTTCCCCATTCCAAGATGAAACACTTTCATTATACCTCCAAGCAGAAGATGCTCAAGTCAAAGGCAAGTATTTTTCAAGGACCCACATTTTGCAAGAGGCTAAACTAGTGTGTGTTGCACTGTGCAATTCTTGAAGTTGTTTTTGCCTAGTAGTATATATCTTGCTTCTACCTTGTGTTACTAAGTCCTCTACTTTTCCCTCTCATAGTAGCTCCACCTTTTTGTTACTGCTTTCATGTCCTTATAGGCAATGGATTTCTCTATTTTAAGCTAACATTTATTTGGTACTTTCTAAGTTCTACAAGGATATCCAACCAGTCCATCCTAAAGGAGATCAGTCCTGAGTGTTCATTGGAAGGACTGATGTTGAAGCTGAAACTCCAGTACTTTGGCCACTTGATATGAAGAGCTGACTCATTTGAAGAGATGCTGATGCTGGGAAAGATTGAGGGCAGGGGGAAAAGGGGATGACGGAGTGTGAGATGGTTGGATGACATCACCGACTCAATGGACATGTGTTTGGGTAGGCTCCGGGAGTTGGTGATGGACAGGGAGTCCTGGCATGCTGCAGCTCATGGAGTCGCAGAGTGGGACAGACTGAATGACTGAACTGAACTGAACTGAAGTTCTAAGAAACTTGAATTCGATACTTTGTAATTTCTAAGATTACACACAGGACCAGCCACTCAATTTGTGGGGCCCAGTGCAAAATAAAAATGTGGATCAAAAAGCAGAAAAAAGTGCTGTTAAAGATGCTAAAATGTAAAGCTTACTCCTTTCTTTGGTGGTCTCTCAACCTGTCATAGTATTTTTATCTGCTATTTAACATCACACTCCCTGAGCAGGGGTATACCTTTGGCATAAATGCAGATCCCCCCACAGGAAATTGGGGACCCATGCAACCTACTGGCTGCCTGAAGCACCCCCCTGCCGCCCACGCTAGCTGCTGGACTAACATGCTATTCCCAGCGAAGGACAAGTAGGCCAAGTCAAGCATCTCCCCTTCCCATAGGCCTGCCTCCTCAACTCACAGTAAATGGGTGACCTGCAAAGGTATCACAACCTCCACACTGAGACCCTCTCTGTAATGATAAAGAAAGGCAAGAAGCTCACCCCCACTGAGTTAAGTGCAAAGAAATGCTGTGGCATTGATATTAAATAGCTTAGGTTGAGAATAGCCACCCACTTGCCTAACCCTAGATACTATTGGTGGAACACACAGAGCCCTGCCCAAGGCAGAGTAGTGGGTAATAGTCACTGAACAGGGCAGGGGAGCCTGACCGGGGTCTAGCGGCCAGCATCTGAAAACCCATCCAAGGGATGTGGGGGAAGGGAGGACCATGCAGTAGCTGAGGCTCCTATCCCCTGGTGTCTGTTCCAATTGTCCCATTGGACTTCTCTGCTGAAGTACAAACTCAAAGATAAAATTATTAAGAATCAAGACAGTGACTGCAAAGCTTGCGGCCCCAAATATGACATTCTGAATACAGGGCCCTGTGTAACTACACTGATTGTGTACCCATGAACCTGGCCCTAGTTACATAGCTGGTAACCTACATCTGACCATGACTGACTGAGTTATTAAACAGCTCCCTAGGAACTCCCATTCCTATGGAGCCTCTTATCAAATCTATTAAAACTGTTATCTAGTCCTACCACAGTTGGGCTTCCCTGGTGGCTCAGACAGTAAAGAATCTGCCTACAATGTGGGAGACCTAGGTTTGATCCCTGGGTCAGGAAGATCCCCTGGAGAAGGGAATGGCAAGCCACTCCACTATTCTTGCCTGGAGAATTCCAGGGACAGAAGTCTGGTGGGTACAGTCCATGGGGTCCCAAAGAGTCAGACACAACTGAGCAACTCACACACACCACAGCTACCAAAGCTGTTTTCCCTGTTCATTATTTCACGTTAGTAATAGTAATATTTGGGTGATGAAACTGTATGATTTGTTATCTATATTCCTCCTTTTGCCTCCATTCTGCTGATTGTATACTTATGTGCAATTTAACATGTTCTTCTGTTCTGTGAATTTCCTGCAAGTTAGCAGTGAGATTCAGAGGCTTGGTCACGCAGTAGTCAACTGGAACATATCATCCCTGCCTACAATCTTGTAATCCAGGATCCTCCTGACTGATCATACTAACCTCCCTAAAATACCATACTGCACACCCAGTCCATGTGTTCCCCTCCATCCACATCCATATCTACTTTTGTCCCCTTCCTCTCCCACAATTCACATGCTCCTTCTAAAATCTTCCATGGCACCTGTTAACACATTTTAACATCCATGCCTCCACAGACTGAGCTCAGACCAACATGACTGACTTCTGCTTTCCCACCCAGACCCACAGTTAGGTGGGTTAAGCAATGGAAAGAGCACAAACTTGGAAGTCATCCAGAGCTCAAGCCATAGTGCCAGCTTTACGACTTGATTGAAATAGAACTGTGGTGAGTGGCTTTTCCTCTCTCTGCCTGAATTTCTTTCTTTGTAAAAGTGAAATAATACCACCCTCATAAAGCTGATATAAGGATTAGTGAATGAATTTGTGTCAAGCACCAAGGAGACCTCAGTAAAAGGAAGCTATTATTATTGGAGCAGTCACAAACAGACATTTTAATATCCAAGAATCTGTGGTGCAGTTTTACTTTTGAGTTTGCCTGCTTTTCTTCCCCACATAGAAAAGTTCTCTCTGCTTGCCTATGTCTTATGGGGCTTCCCTATAGCTAAGTGAGTAAAGAATCTGCCTGCAATGTAGGAGACCTGAGTTCAATCCCTGGGTCGGGAAGATACTCTGGAGAAGGAAATTGCAACCCACTCTAGCATTCTTGCCTGGAGAATCTCATGGACAGAGGGGCCTGGCAGGCTGCAGTCCATGGTGTCGCAAGAGCTGGTCACGACTTAGCTAAACCACCACCAAGTAAAATTCCAAGATGTTCCCCTAGACTTATAGCTCCTGGTATAATCCCCAGTACTATGACTATAATAGATTTTACTTACATGATTGATGTTATATAGTACAGTTGAATTTAAGATAGGAAGGTTATCCAGGCAGGCCTTGCCTAGTTATATTAACCCCCTTAAAGCAGAGAGCTTTCTCCAGCTGATCACAGAAGAGGAAATTGAAAATTAGAAGCACAAGAAGGATTTGACAAGCTATTGCTGGATTAAAGATACAAGAGGCCACATATCAAGGAATGTAGGCAGCTTCTAGGAGCTAAGCCTGGCCCTGGCTGACAGACAGCAGGGAAATACGGACCTCATTTGCACAGCCACAAGGAACTGAATTCTGCCAACAAGAAGAATGATTTCAGTAACAGATTTACCCCAGAGCTTCCAGATGAGAACTCAGTCCAGTTGGCACCTTGATTATATCCTTGTGATGCTGAGCAGAGAACTCAGCCACAACACACAGGACTTCTGACCTATACAATTTTGAGATAATAAGTGGGCATTGTGGGATAATTTGTTACATAGCAATAGAATAATATACCTATCTTCAAGACCCACATCTAGTTTTCTCTCTTTGACTTTTTTTTTTTCTCTTTGACTTCTTTCAAAGCCTGAACTGTTTATACAATCCTTCCTCCTTCATAGCACTTATCACAATTGTCCTTATCAAAATTGACCATTTTACAT